AACCAAAATCATGGGTTTAGAAGCCTTTTAAGCCATGTTCCAGCCTTGTGAGGAGAAAAGAAGATATTGCTGATGTCTCATATCTGCCTACAAGGGTATGGCTGGCTGAAGAGATTGAGGGCAGACAAACAATCCTGGCTGTTAAGTACCTGTGTGAACATTTTTTTTTATTTAGTAGAGTCTTGAATTGTTGAGCTTGTTGGGGTTTCTTTCTGAGACTTGAAGATAGGTATAGGAAGGTTTGGAACTAAAAGGCATTTCTCCATTCAGCCCCCGCCCACCTGCTTCCAGTAAATCCAGGCTTCTAGAATGTGCATTCATCTCAAGGGTAGCAATAAAAGGTACTTGTGTGCCTTAAGAAAATGCATGGACTCAAGCTTGTTTTTCTTTGCTAAGATAATAAATTTTAAGCATTCTAAATTTGAAGGTAAATAAATTCTAGAATGTCCAAAATGGCATCTCATTGACAGTGCCCCTTAAAGCTAATTGGTCATAGAAGCTATAGATTTTGTCTAATTTCTTTGTGTGACAATGTGTGTGCACCTTGTTTACTATCTTCAACAATCATTTGCAGGTTAGTTTATTATTATATGTTTATATAAACCATGTACAGAATAAATTATGTACAGAAACTACAGACATGTAAGACCTTTGAGGAGAGTAAAGACAAAACATAAAAAGCATATAATGGCATTTGAATTTTGGTTGAATTCAAAATGAGCCTTATATTGTTAAAATAAGGAGCTGATCACAGAGCATCTCTGTCCTATTGAGAGAGATGATTTGATATGATAGTTGATGGTACAAGGCTTTAGGCCAAAGATTGGCAGTTTTTAAAGGGCTAGATGATAAAGATTGTTGATTGTAGGGGGCATATATATTATACTTTTAAAATCTGTTTCTTTCTTTTTGCAAACTTCAAAACTGTAAAAAAAAAAAAAGAACAAAACAAACAAACAAACAAAGAAAAACAGGGCTTGGAGGGAAGGGTCAGTGGGCCAGAGCACTGGCTGCTCTTCCCAAGGGCTCTAGTTTGATTCCCAGTCCCCACATGGTGGTTCAGAGCCATCCGAATGGGGATCTGATACCCATTTTTGTACTCCGGGCATATTGCACACACATGTTGCACCAATACCCACTCAGGCAAAGCAAGCATACAGATAAAGTATAAATAAATACACTTGCATTTTTAAGTCTTTAGGCTTTTAAAAATAGATATGAAAGCCATTCGCAGCTCTTGGGCCATGCCAAAAAACAGACTGAGGTCTGAAGGTACAAACCCCTTGAGAGTTGTCCCCAGATTTGTGCTCCACTGTGCCAATAACTATGTGGGATCTTAGCAAGCTCCCACCCTGCTTTTACTCTTATCTATGTATTGGGACTAATTTATTTTAAAAAAAAATGGTTTTAGCTTAGTAGTTGGCTGTGCTGTTTTTGTTGCTGTTGCAGCTGCAACAGAAAAGTTTCTTTCATTGCTTTAGTTGTACAAGACACAAACAATATTTAAAAAAAAAATCAGATAGAGACTTTGGATGACCCTGAAAATATTTGCTCTTTGCTATCTTGTGTCATTAACTTCCTTTAAGTCCTGGGCTGAAATAAGGTTGCCGATGGCCTTTTCTAAAGTTTCTGATATGAAAGAGAATAGTGTGTTAGTAGTAATAAGGGTATCACTTGAAAACTGAGGTGCAAGAATGTTAGTCTGGGAGTCAACTCTGGATTGAATTGGCATTCCAGAGCTTGTCCCATTTTCAAATGAGAAATTGTGGCCTATGGAATAAACAGGTCCCTAACTCCCAAATTCAGCTCCAGACTAAATGGAGTTGGGTCAATGTATTTTGAATGTCTAGCACACTGAAGCTTTCTAATCCTAATTAATGCCATTTACTGCCTCTTTTAACTTTTGCACCATTACAGCTGATGTACTAGTATATTTTTTTGAAGACAGCTTACTTTTTAGTTTCATTTCTAGGTTAAAAGAGAATCCCTGTACATCTAAGCTTCAGCCTAATGGTGATCTAATTGTGATATCGGTTTTGCTAGGTAACTACTCTCAGAGAAGTGTCATTTACTTATTGATTGATTGATAGAGATGGGCCTTGCTATTTTTTAGGATCTTAAACACATGGCAATTCAGTCTCTGCTTTTCAAGTGCTACTACGACAGACTTATCTCACCATTGCCTACCTCGATTATCTCTAAGAAGCAAGGGGAAGAAGCTTAAAGCACGGCAGGGTGTGGTGTTGATCATTAAACTTGGGAAACTGAGGCAAGAGCATAACAAGCTGGAGGCCATCCTGGGCTGCAGAGTGAGACCCTATGTCAAAACAGTCAAGCAAACCAAAAGCGAACTTAAGTCACTTATGTGGTCAGTTTCTAGATTGTAATATAGAATAAAAATTGTTCTAATTAAAAACACAGTTTCTTATATGTGTGCATGTGTGGGTGCACAGTGGAGACAAGAGCTCAATATGGGGTATCTTCTTCAATCATTGTCCAGCTTTTTTTTTTTTTTTTTTTTAAATAAGATAGGGTTTCTCAGTGAACCCACAGCTCATGGATTTGGCTAGACCAGCAAACCCCATGGAAATTCCTGTCTTTACCTCCCTAGCACTGGGATTACAGGTGCATTCTGTGGTCACCTTGTTTTTACATGGGTTCATGGGATCCAAACTCCGATACTGATGCTTGCACATTGCCAATTGAGCCATCTCCTGAAGCCACACACACACACACACACACACACACACACACACAGACACAATATCAAGGCACCCACATGTTTTGCTCTTTAGGCTAGCTTTCTTAAGAAGCTTAAAAGTGAGTCACCTTGAGTAGAAACTGTTGAGGTACTTAATGAAGCCTGAAAAATGATCACTCACTGCGGTGTGATTACCAATAAGAAGCAAATGACAGAAAAAAAGATGTGAGAATCTTAGAGAATCTTGCTTAGTTAGGTCCTAGGATAAACTGTTAATTTTGTCAGTAAACATTTATTAAATGTCTGTGATATGTGGCATATGAGGAGGAATGCATATAAGTGCTCCCTACCATGCCCTCAAAGTACTTAGAGTCTAGTGACTTAATGGTGTTTATTGAGGATAAGAATGTGTTAGGCTTTATATTATTTTATTCACTTTTAAGTAGCATTTCATTTAAACCTCATAATAACTCTGTGATATGGGTACTATTTATTATCTTTTTCATTTTTCAGATGAGGAGATTAAGGCCCAGATAGGGTAAATGATCTGCTTGGTATTATATGTTTAGTCAGATTTCAAAATGTCTATGTGGTTTAAAAGCCCCATTTTCTTTTTCTCTTTCTTTTTTTTTTTTTTTTTTTTAATTTTATTTGTTTATTTATTTATTTTTGGTTTTTCCGAGACAGGGTTTCTCTGTGTAGCCTGGGCTGTCCCGGACTCTCTTTGTAGACCAGGCTGGCCTTGAACTCACAGAGATCCGCCTGCCTCTGCCTCCCTGAGTGCTGGGATTATAGGCATGTGCCACAATGTCCCAATAAAAGCCCTGTTTTTCTAGCCAGTAAATCACATGGCTGTCAGCAAAAGCTTGAACTTTCTTTTCTATCTTGAAATTCAGTTGGCCATTGCTACAAAATTGTTTCTTTTAACAGATTTTATTTTTATACACATGAGTATTTTGTCTTCTTGCATATCTGTGCAACACATATATACAACTGCCCTCCGAGGCTAAAGATGGCATCAGATCCTCTGGAGCTGGAGTTACAGGTGGTTGTGAGCTGCCATGTGAGTGCTGGGAATCAAACCTATGTCATCTGCTGGGGAAGCCAGTGCTTTTAAACCACTGAGCCATCTCTCCAGCCTTCTCTAACAGCATTTTTTGAAACAAGTTATGAATGTTTTCATGAATGCATTCACACTTTTTCTAGGGGACCCTGGGCATTGAACCCAGGAGCTCACTCAGGTTAGATATGCATCCTGCTACTGACCTATATCTTCACAGTCCTCTTTTTGCCTTTTCTTTGAGACAAAGCCTCACTGAATAGCCCTGAGTAGCCTCAAACATGCTGTAATTCTTCCTTTTTCTCTTGAGTGCTGGGACTACAGAACAAAGACTTCTTTTTTAACTTTATTGTATGAAAGTGTTTGTCCGCATTATGAGTTGTGAGTGCAGGCATGAATATTCCACAGCACACAGTGCAGGTAAGACAATAACTTTGTAGAGTCAGTTTTCCAGTGATTGAACTCAGGCCATTAGGCTTATGTCACAAACACTTTTAGCATCTGAGCCATCTTGAAGGCCCCAAACACTTCTCAGGGTGTAGATCTTTTTGTCAGTTTTGGCTATACTTAATTCTTCAGTGATAGTACTTCCATATTTTTGAGCATCAGAGTTTTTAGGTGCAATAGGCAGGAAGACTGGGCTGAAATTCTTGAGAAAGCCATGTTTCATTATCTAGAGAAGCAGGCGGTAGTGGAGCCCAGATAGCGCTAAGTTCTTATCACTGGAAGTGCTTTCAGCATAAGTAGATCATGAATGCAGCGTAGGGGTAGGGTTCTGTTTTGTGAAAGAAAAAAAAAACATTCTTGTTGCCTGTTATTAATGTAAATTTTGTAATATCAATATATTCTGTGCCTCCATATGTGTAGGATGCTAGAAATTTCTGCTTTATCTCCCAAACAAAGTATTCTTTTGTGACCTTCCTCTTTACTACAAATTGTTTTAATTCCATAATTAGGATTTGACCTTTTATAGAATTTGAATTTTGTAGATCTGTCAACTTTTTTTTCAGAGAAATTCCAATTTTCCAGATGCTCTAACGAAAGGATCTGTTTTGTTTTCAACATAAGTAATTGTTCTCCATACTATTTTATTTTCCAATGTGTGCATTTCAAATCTGCTCAAGTGCTAGGCTGGGATTGGGGAACCTGATGTTTCAGTGTGCGTTCAGGCATGCAGGGGAACCAGTATATACTATTACTTGCATTGGAAAGAATTTATGCTTCTGTTGTTAATATTTATAGGAGCTAAACTGGGAGGGTTCATTTTTTTTTTTACATGTAAATACAGAGGGGTAACTTTTACTGAGCCTCTTGATTGCAAAGTCTTTTGGGATATGAAAGAACAAAGTTGTTCCTGTGTCATCTACGTATTGGTTATATGGATACAGCCTTAATTCTAGGGTATGTCTATCAAGGATCGCTGATAACCTGTCATGATTTCCTTCCTCATCTCTCCCTGTCTGTTTCTCCTTCCCCTTCTCCCTCATTTTTCCCTATCCATCTGTTGCTTTGTCCCTTTCTGTTTTATGGAGGTGGTTAGTCTGGGCTCAAGATCTTTCTGCCTTACAGGTGTGCTAATCACACCCACCTGTTTTTGTACAACTATTGTATGTGTGTGTGCTTGTGAGAGCATGTGCCTGTGTGTGGGTACATGCCTGCATGTGTGCTTGTGTGTGTGTGTGTGTGTGTGTGTGTGTGTGTGTATGTGTTGTGATGCTGGGGTTTGAACCCTGGGCTTTTCACGTGATATTGCTCTTACACCAAGATGCACCTCCCAAATCAGGAGGTACATTGTCCAATATATTTTTGAAATTGATATTGTGCTGTTCAGCAATTCATCATTGCTGCTTACTTTAATAAACACATGTGGTGATTGAGAGTTAACTATAGGAACCTGTCATCTTTTTGTTTTCCCTTTTCCCTCCCAGCTGAAGCTTTTAAATCCCCATAATTTTTTTAGTTATTTTGTATCCAATATATTTTGATCATATTTCCCTTTCCCTGACACTTCCCATATCTTTCCCACCTCCCTATCCACCCATCTTCGTGTTCTCTCTCACTTAGGACAAAAACAAAGCAAAAATTAAAACAAATAAAAAACTTACTAAGATAAAAATAATTAAACATCCTCCCCCCACAAATGAAACCCAGAGTCTGTTTTATATTGGTTAACTACTCCAGGGCCTGGAGTGTGGTTAATATATTCAGTGACACTACAGTGGAGGAAACTGATTTTCCCCTTCCTAGCAGGAATTAGTTGCAAATAGCTTCTTGGTTGGGTGGGACTTTGTGTCCACCTCTCCTTCTCAGTACTAGGACTTGCTCTGGTTTGAACTTGTGCATGTTGTCATAGTCTTTGTGAGTTAATATGTACACCAGTGAATTGTCTATACAAGATGCTATTTTCTTGGGTCATTTGCCACTTCTAGAGCTTATCTTTCTGCCTCCTCTTCTGTACAGATCCCTGAGCCTTTAGGGGAGGTGTTTGATGGAAACATCATTTAGTGCTCAGTACTCCAAAGTGTCTTACTCTCTTCACATTGTCTGCTTGTGGATCTCTGTCTTAATCCCCTTCTGCTGCAAGAAGAAGCCTCTCTGATTTGGATTGATCCTCTACACATTCCTCTTATTTTGCTTCATCCCTTCCCACTTTGGTCTGGCTTCTTCCCCAACTACTCCACTGAACCTGCTCTTACCAAGACAACCCATGCCTTCCTTGTCACTAAACCCAGGAGAGATGCCTTACTCCTTCTTTATTTAATGTTTTTATAGAATTTGATAGTTTTCATCATTTCCTTTTCCTCAAAAAAAAATAAAGAAAAGAAAATTTCCTTTTCTTCCTGAATTCTTCACCACTACTTACTTGTTTATTCCCACTCCTGTGGCTTTTCCTCCTTAGATTCATTATCAATTCCTCGGTTCCTATTGGCCCTTCAATGTTAGTTGTTAATGGATCAAACCTAGGGCTTATATCTGTAGTTTTTTTCCACAGTACATTTTTTTTTTTGCTTCCAGATGATCATCTCATATATGTACCTAACTTCTACTAATTACACCAAGTTGAGGCTCTCTTCTTGAGTTCTAGACTCCACATACTCAAGTATGCACTTTTCACAGACAGATCAAATTTAGCATGTTTGAATCTAAACTTAGGAGGCTGATGAGATGGCTCAGCAGTTAAGAGCACTTGCTGCTCTTCCAGAGGAGCTTAGTTCCCATGTCAGGCATCTCACAACTGCTGATACTACAGCTCTAGGTCACCTGATACTACTGACCTCTGTGGGCACCTGTGCATATGTGACAGGTAGAGGCATACATATAAATAAAAAATATTTTAAAATAAGCTTGGCCTTTTTGTCCTGTAAATCCATTCTCCTGGTGTGTTCCCACTTCATTAAATGGCCCTGCTTTCCCCCTAGCTTCTCAGGCTGATGTAACCACCTCATTGCCAAGTCCATTAAGGCTCTTCAAGTCTTTGATCTCATTCTCCCTAGTCTATTCTACTTAGCCACGAAAGCTTTCTAACATATACTATCTTCCAGCCACCCTCACTTCTGACATTACTCTCTTAGATGAGGTCCAAAGCTCTTACTGCCTAATGATTACAGTGTTCACCTAGACAGCCATTTAGACCCTCTCAAGTCTAGACCAACCTCTTAAAATAGAACTCTAATGTCAAACTCACACTTAGGACTCTTCAGTGATTTCTTTTTGCTTTAAGACAATAAAAATCCAAGCCCCCTTCTTCAATACCTGTGGTTGTTTATGACTCAATTCCTGTACATCTTTCAAACTTTGCCTCTTGTCAGCTTATAATGTGGTCACACTGAAACACCTTGTGATTCCCCTTATCAGCCCTGTTCTTTTATTCCCCAGTAGATAGATATTCTAATATACCTATACCTGGTAATGATACTACTTAAATGACATTGCTGGGGAATAAAACAAAACAAAACAAAACAAAACTTCTCTAGTGTCCCATTCCCTTAGTCTTGGTTAATTATTTTCTGTATTTAAAACATCTTTGTGTGTGTGTGTGTGTGTGTGTGTGTGTGTGTGTGTGTGTGTGTGTTGCACTACAATCCTTAAAATTGCAATTTTTGCTAACTGGACTGGCAACTCTTTGAAGTGGACTGTGTCTTCATCTGTTAACTGTGGGGTTGTTTCTAGCATGAGTTGTCAATAATTACATCTTAAATGAATGGATTGCCAGTCAGAAAAAGAAAAAACCACAGGAAGTAAAGTCTAGTTTGTACTTTGACTCTTGGCCTTAAGGAAAGTTCCAGAGGTATGGATTCAGTGTGTAGTTCATGTATATGCATATAATGGAATGTTAATTTGCCATACAAATGAAGTTTTGATATATGCTACCATAATAGTGACTGTTCAGCTATTATACTAAGTGAAAGAAGCCAGACAGAAGAGGCCATACATTTTAGGATTCCATTTATATTCAATGTTTACTATAGGCAAATCTGTAGAGATGAAAAAGAAAATTATCGGCTTTCAAGGATTGGAGCTTACAGAGCTAGAGACATAATTTGATCAATAAACTACATACTGTATTTTCTGTATTTAAAACATCTGTGTGTGTGTGAGAGAGAGAGAGAGAGAGAGAGAGAGAGAGAGAGAGAGAGAGAACTTGAATTCAACTTCCCAGCATCCAAGTAAAAGCGGGCATGGTTGCACATATCTTCAAGCACAAGTATAAGGGAGGGCAGAAATGGGAAGATTCCTGGAGCTCACTAGCCACCCAGTCTAGCCAAAATCAGAGAGCTCTAAGCTCAAGGAAAAACCCCGTCTCAAACAATCAGGTGAAGATTGACTGAGGAAGACACCCAATGTTAACCTCTACCCTCTACTACACACATGTCCATATATGCATATGCATGTATGTGTACATACATGTATACATACTCTGTTTATTTTTCTTTGGCAAAAAGGGACCAAAAAGCTAGAGTCTGTGGGTAGGGTAGCAGGGAGTGTTCTAATATTTTTTGAGCATTGAAAATCATTTGGAATTAGTGGTGATTGAGTTACACTTTGTGGATATACTAAAGGCCACTGAATAATATAATTTCAAAGAGTAAGTTTTATATCATTAAAATTATGTCTCAATAAAGCTGTCATTAAGCATGGCAGTTTATCAGTATAGTTTTATAGAACCCAGAGAAATGTGTGTATCAGAATATGTATAGGAGTAAAACCTGTGTGCTGATCATATAGGGCCATCATTAGGAGTTTTCCTTCATGTGTTGATTTTGAGGTGGGTATTTTAAATTTTAATTCTGACCTTGCAGTAGTAGAATAATTCAATCAGTCTGTAAATAGAATATTTACTTTGTCATTTGTTAAATATGTATTAATTGGTACCTATGTGTATATGCTTTGGGAGTAAACATGGGGAACATATGTTTGTTTTGTTAATTGAAAGACAAGGTTTTTAGAAAAAACACATTTTTGTGATCTTGGTTTCAAGTCCAAGGACTGGCACTAAAGAAACACATTGCTTTTTCCTTCTTGTTTGGAAATAGGATTTTATATAGTTCAGGCTGTCCAGGAACTCATTATATAGCCCAGGCAGTTGTTAAACCCAGTCTTTCCTCAGTTTCCTGAATGCTGGGATTATACATGTGTACCAAATTTGCCAGGCTTAAAAACAAAACAAAACAAAACAAAACACATTTCCAGTATAACTGCATTGTCAACTTGAACCCACTTAGAACATAATCTGTATATAGATGATTTGAAGGTATTTTCTCATTTACTTTCTTTCCCCACCAGTTATGTATGTGATGACTTAGAAATGCAGTGCACATTTTTTCTCATGTCCCACCAGATTAAACGAAGATTAGACTCTTTAGACAAATGAATTCAGTAATACTTTAAAATGTAACAGCAATTTGGTCTAAAAATTGGTTCTGAGACTCTCATCAAAAAATTTCTCTCCTGAAATCTAGAGATACATGTTGGGTACAAATAAGCAGTTTCTGTTTGCAAGAAGAGCTCATGTACTTCTTTTATTTCCAGGTCTTCTGGTAGGCCTTGTACTTCGCTATGGCATTCATGTTCCAAGTGATGTGAATAATGTGACCCTGAGCTGTGAAGTGCAGTCAAGTCCAACTACCTTGTTAGTCAACGTTAGTGGAAAATTTTATGAGTATACGCTGAAAGGAGAGATTAGCTCTCATGAACTCAACAATGTTCAAGATAATGAAATGCTTAGAAAGGTAAGTTTTTAGTTGAAGGGGATGTTTGGTTTTTTTAAAAAAGGTATGTAATGAATGACTACGTGAATCTTAAGGAAAAGAATGACCTGTGGTTTTTTTTTTTTTCTTTTTATTATTCTTTTTATTTTTGAGGCAATGTCTTTCTTTGTGGGCTGCCCTGGAACTTTCTGCATAGACCAGGCTGCCCTGCCTCTGCCTCCTTGACATTACACACAGGCACTACCTACCTCTCCCAGCTTGTGCCACCATTCCTAGCTGTAATTTCTTTCCATGTTTAAAATAATAATGAATTTAAAATGTAATAAAACCTGTTAATAAATGTAATGCTGTTAGGAGATGAACCTGTCTGTTTTCTTTTCATGATTAAGGCTAAGATCTGTAAATCTTTCTGTTTTACTCTGTGTGTAATATTGTTATGATTGACAGTATCCAGGACCTGAGTTCAGAAGAATACATAAACATTTCTTCAATTTACAGACGGTCTTGTTGCTTTAGGGTACATTAGCACATTGAGTTTATTTAGTTCTACCTGTGGTCCCATCAATATTTCATTGAATTTTTACATGACTTGCTTGTATTCTAGACAAGCATAATTTAACCTTTCTTTGACTCATAATCTAGTACAACTTGTATTGAATCAAGCTTTCCATGGGTGACTGGGTTGCAATCTCAACTAGCTCTCAAGATTCCTGGGAATGCTTGCCCTGCCCTGCTGCTCCCCTGAAGCTGCTCAGCCCCATTTCATACATTGTTCTGTGACAATACCCACCCTTTGTCTCCTGTCTTCTACATAAGCACGTCTTGATTTTATAGCCTCTTGGTTGTGTTTCTATCTGTAATCAGTTTTAAAATGTCTACAAGCTCAAAGTTTAGTTTGTGACCAGTGTTCTTAGCAGCCATGGAAGAGTTCAGTTCCTTAAAAATTCTGGTAGAGTAAGTTTAACATGGTTATGTGTATAGCTGCTTTGTTTTCATATCAACTTTTATTGCAGCCTTTGGAACAGAAGGGAGGCATCTGCACTGTTAAAGCAAGTAGGTTTTAGAATGAGTAGGCTTAAGGACTGGAAATTTTGAGTTGTATAGAAAATTTTGACTACAGTATTATGCTATATAGCTTTAGAGAGATTCCCTATGTAGGAACTCAGTTTCCTTTCATTATCAATAAGTATAGTCCTGGAGTCTGTTTCTAGATTTGGGGCTCTTCTGTGTAAAGCAAAAATATATTAATACTTTCTTCACATTTTAAGTCTCTTGAATTTTATTTGGTTGAGACAGAGTCATGCTATGTGGTTCTAGGTGGTCTGTTACTATGTAGTTCAAGCTAACTTCGAGCTCATAGCAATTCTCCTGCCTCGAACCCTTCCAAAAATGCAGGGATTACATATGTGTACTATTGTGTTCTGCTAAGAATTTTAACAAACTATTTTTGTACAGTTTTCATAGATACAATATAACTGAACAGGATGCAGTGGCTCACACCTGTAATTCCAGCGCTCTGGGAGGCAGAGGCAGGTAGATCTCTGTGAGTTTAAGGCCAGCCTGGTCTACAATGCCAGATCCAGGGCAGCTAAAGCTACACAGAGAAACCTTGTTTCAAAAAATGAAAGAAGGGGGCGGGGAGAGAAAGAGAGGATTTAACTGATTATTCCATCACTGTCATCCTGTCATTTGGTCAAAAAATAGAACAAAAGCTATCCTGTACTTTTAAAAAATTGTTATGTGCCTAAAGCCTGACAGTACTGTGATACCTATCTAGAATATTTACTTTTAAGTTAGCATATAAAATAATGGGTATTATTTTGTCATTTTCATGCATATGTGTCATACTTGGCTCTAATTTGTCGCCCTCCCATTGCCTCTTCTGTCTCCCGTATCTCCCCTCTTTCCCTCTTTTCCCTCTCCTGATCTTTTTCTCCTTTTATGTCACACAGACATACATAGACACACATACACGCATACACACGCATATACACAAACCACACACAGAGTAGAGACAGATTACTTAATGTGAAAGAGTCTTTGCCAAGTATACATCAATTAGCATATTAAAATCTAAGATATGTAAAGAACCACAAAAAGCCCTTCCAAATCTATCCAATTAATAAATGTGCTAATAAATAGTTATCAAAAGAAGAAATAAAAATACTCAATAAATAAAAGTGTTTCACATCAGAAAAACACTAATCTAAACTTTTCCATGAAGTGTTTTGAAGTTGATATAGAAATGTTCTTGTGTTGACCAGTTTAACCTTGAATCTTTTCCTTTTGATAGTTTGATAACATAGTGACATAATCTGAAGGAAATAATTGAAAAGAATTCTGTGTTTTAACAGGTTACTTTTGATCCAGAAGTCTTTTTCAACATACTGCTTCCTCCTATCATATTTTATGCAGGTTACAGTCTTAAAAGGGTAAGTGCTTTTGCATTGGCTATGCTTTGACTGGCCTTAATTTTCCCATACTTTGACCAGTCTTAAAATTTCCCATGTGCTTCATTGTACTTGGCAGTTCAGAAACAGGCCATTTCTTCCAAGTTATCCTTCCTTTTCTCCTCATCTTTTTGATATGTTGAAATGTATGCCAGTACCAGCATGCTTTCTCTGCCTGACTTCTGCTAGAGAATGATGCAGTTAATATTAGCATAAAAAACTGCAGTAGAAGAATGTTTTTTTTTTTTTGTCAGTACACAGTAGATATTCTAACAGAGCATAACTTTTTTTTTTCTGTCAGAGACATTTTTTCCGGAATCTTGGGTCAATCTTAGCATATGCCTTTCTTGGAACAGCAATCTCTTGTTTCGTTATTGGGTAAGATTTGAAGCTTGAAATGCCTTTTCACCTTCAGATTATAATTCTAAAAGAGCACCCTTTGACTTGTGTTTGATTTGTGTGTTACTTTATGCTCCAATGTGCCTTAAGAACTTTTGTGGCACTTAGTTTGTTTGAATTTTTCTTAAACGTAAAGTATTACCTTATATTTAAATACCCATTAATTCAATCCAGGAATAATCACAGAGTACTCTAGTAGATCCCTTTTCTTATTCTTTCTTTATTCTAACTTCTTCAATAGTTGGCACTTTTATAATATAGGAATGTTTGTTGAACAGATCCATAATGTATGGCTGTGTAACCCTGATGAAAGTAACTGGACAGCTCGCGGGAGACTTTTACTTTACAGATTGCTTGCTGTTTGGTGCCATTGTGTCAGCCACAGACCCAGGTATGTTTTATGAAAAGAGCTAAAACGCTTCAGTTGCAGTGTTTCCAGTCAAAGCATGTGTGGTTGCTTGTCTGAGGTAGAGAATCATGATTAGGTTCTTCACTAGCACTGTGCTTTCCAATTGCGAAGGAGTAAACGATTTCTAATTCCTTTTGGTTTAAGCACACATTTGTCTGTTTTACTTTTGTATTACATTTGCCTATAACTGGTTCATAAATTGATGCTGTTCTGATTAGAACTATTAAATATTTTCTTTAGAAAATAAATTGGTTTTTATACCCTACTGATTGGGTATAGCAAAAGAAAAGCTAGGTTATAGTTTTTAAAATTGATTGTATACTTCCTTTTGCATTTCTAGACAAACATTTCTCTAAAAATCCTCCTGTTTATATTCAGTTATTTATACTTTATAGTAAGAAAAATTATTTGGGTTTTTTTTTTTTTTTTTTTTTTTTTAGACAAGGTCTCATGTAGTCAAAGCTGCTAAGCTGGCCTCTAAATTCACTAAGTAGCCAAGGATAATCTTGAATTTCTGGTCCTGAAATTACCCTCATTTCCTGTATGCTGGGATTATTGTGGTGTGCCATGATGCCTGAGATACACAGCACTGGGGATCAAACACAGGGCTATATGCATTCTTGGCATGTACACTGCTGGAACAAACTAGTCTAGGCTGGTCTCAAACTCATGGCAGTTTCTTACCTCAAATTGCACATGCTATGTTTGCTGACATGAACTACCATGCCTAACTAAGAAAACTAGATTTAAAATAGCTATAAGGCAGCTATGCTGATAGGGTGTGCTTTAGAGATATTAATAGTTTTCAGTATATTAAAGAATTGCTTTTTATAAACTTTCCCTTATGGTAATGAAATTATTTTATTATTGACAGCTTGCTTCTTTGTGCTGTCAGTGTCAAATCTCTAAGAATTTGTGTTAGTGAATGAATTTAATTGCTAAATCAAGTTAAAAATTTAAATATGTGTTGGTAAACTAACAGCTATATTCAAACGAGGAAATTGTAGAAAATTTTAGAATGAAATGGTCAGGATACACATCCAGAATATATAAAGATTTCAGTAAGCTCAACAGTAAAAGAATAAGTAATCCAGTCTTCATGTTGCTTGATGAACTGATCAGATACTCCTCAAAAAGTGTACAAATGGCCAATAAATATTTTTTTTTAACATTTTCAACCTTTTAGTGATTGGAGAAATGAAAGTCAAAACCATACTGGGATTCTATCTCACCCCAGTCAAGAAGTCTATTATCAAGGAAACAAATAGAAACATATATTGGTGAAGCTGTGGAATGGGGTGGATGAAATCATGCTAGATGCTGTGGATTATGTCTGTAATTCTAGGATTTGAGCCACTGAAGCAGGCGGATTTCTCTGAGTATGAGGATAGTATGGGCTCCAGAGTAAGACATTGCCTTAAGAAAAGGGAACCTTGTACACTGTTGGCAGGAATGTAAATTAGTTGAGCCACTATGAAAACCAGTATAGAGGTTCCTAATAAAACCCTAAAAACAGAACTACTATATGATTCAGATATATCACTCTTTAGGTATAAAGAATATGAATCAGCATAGAAAATTTACCTGAACACCCATGTTGATTGTGGTACTATTCATAATAGCACACTGTAGAGTCACCCTGGGTACCCATCCGCAAATAAATGATAAAGTGTGATATATTAGCATAGATGCATGCATATATACCGTGGAGTTTTATTATTCATAAATAATACAGCTATGTCATTTTCAGAAGTATAGCTGTAACTGGAAACTGTGTTAAGTGACATCAGCCAGACTAAGAAAGACAAATTGCACATATTTTCTTTAAATATAAAACCAAAATTAGAACAAAACAAAACATGGAAACTATTTGGAAAGAGAGAGGGCACCAGATGATTATGGGGACAAATTATGGTAATAGGATGAATATGATCAATGTACATTGTATATATGCATGAAAACATCGTAGTGAAACCCTTTAGTTTATGCAGTCAACATACAGTAATAAAAGTAAATGGAAAAAAAGGCAGCATCGGAACTAACTAGAGGGTTTTTGGTTGTATTTATTTGGTGTTAGGAGCATTGATCATGGTAGGCAAGTGCTTTACCACTGACCTATGTCTCTATCCCCTAGATTGAAGATTTAGAACCTGGGGATCAAAGTTTTCTTTTACTATTAGTTAGGATTTGGTAGAGGTTCGTTCTGTTTTATCCTTTGCCCTTGTAAGTTAATCATCTTTAATTGTCATCGAGCACAATTGAAATTGGTGTCCTTAAGGCTATCTTTGAATTCTTTCTTTAACCCTGATAACACAAGGAATGATAGATAGGAAAAAAGATGTGTTCCATATGCTATGAGAACATAGATTACTAAAAGATTACTCAAAGCTAGCTAGGTACTGTGGTATATGCCTGTAATCTCAATACTTGGAAGTAGAGGCAGGAATTTAGGGAGTTGGTGGTTAGCCTGGGCTGGGTGTCCTTGTCTACCAGTGGAAGTAGGCTCCCTGACCTTTTTTTAGCCTATGAAAAAAATCTAAGGATTGAACCGGCAACATTTCTTGAACTTTTTCATTTGTTTTGGTTAGAGTATTGCCTGACTATATCACAAGCAATAACCTTTTGACTATATAAAGTTTGCCAGGTTTATTTTCTAGATTATGTAGGCACTTTCTCTAGTTCTATTACTTTGCATTAACTTTCTAGATGTTTAAGCCATAGGTTCTGTATTGAAAATGTGACAGTATTTTTCCACTCTCCCTTTTTCTTTCTCTTAGTAAGCCTCTTTTTTAAAAATCTTTGTCTTTCATAAGATTCCCTGCACTCTGCCCAAAGTTTGGCTGAGTCTCACCCTCTGTTTCAATACCTCGATCAGTAGAGTCTTTCAGAAGCCCTCTGTGATAAGCTCCTGTCCTGTTCCCTGTTTTCTCCTGCTTCCAGTGTCTATCCCATTTGCTTTCTGAGTGAGGATTGAGCAACTTCCCCAGGGTCCAGAAGCCAGAGATAAAAATACCTGGAGGGGACAGGACCTCCACAAGAAGACCAACAGAACCAAAAAATCTGAGCCCAGCGGTCTTTGCAAAGATCAGTACTCCAACCAAGGACCATGCATGGAGATAACCTAGACCCCTTGCTCAGATGTAGCCCATGGAAGCTCAGTCTCCAAGTGGTTTCTCTAGTAAGGGGAACAGAGCATATCTCTGACATGAACTCAGTGGCTGGCTCTTTGATCACCTCCCCCCAGAGGGAGTGCAGCCTTACCAGGCCACAGAAGACGACAATGCATCCAATTCTGATGAGACCTGATAGGCTAGGGTCAGATGGAAGGGGAGGAGGACCTCCCATATCAGTGAACTAGTAGAGGGGCATAGGAGGAGAAGAGGGGAGTTAAAGGTAGGGAGGGTAGGATTGGGAAGGGGTAGAGGAGGGGGCTACAGCTGGGATACAAAGTGAATAAATTGTATTAATTAAAAATAAGTTAAAAAAGAAAATTCAGTCATGTTATGAAATCAAATTATAAGTACTAATTATGTTACTAAATATGAGATGTCCTACTTTTAAAACCTTTAAAAAAACTTTTTCTTGGGGCTAGAAAATGGCTCAGCAGTTAAGAGCACTAGCTGCTCTTCCAGAGGACTCAGGCTCAATTCCCCGCACCCACATGGTAACTTACAACTGTCTAATTCCAGAGGATCTGATGCCCTCTTTTGGCCTCCACCTGTACCAGGTACTCACCTGGTGCACAGACAAGCATGCAAACAAAACATCCATAAACTTACAGATAAAAATAAAGTATTTCCCAAATAATTTTTCTTTAAATAATTTAAAACATTTTTCTTTGTTTTATTTATATGGGGTTTTGCCTGCATGTGTATCTATGCACCACATGTATGCATGGTGTCTGAGGAGGCCAAAAGAAGGTATTGGGCCCCTGGAACTAGAGTTAGAGTCTGGTAGAGCCTCCATGTCAGTATTGGGAACTGAAACCTGGTTCCTTGGAAGAAAAGCCAGTGCTCTTAAGCCACTGAGCCATTTCTGGCCCCAAATTTTTCTTTGCTCTTCAGAATTTCATGCATGTATATGTAGACATAGGACATATCTGTGTTTCTATAGATGTCTACTCCAGTGTTTTTCAATAGAAATATTTTTTAAAATATAAGCTTTCTGTTTTAATGATTCCTATTTGAAAATGCTCTCTTCTTTCTGGCTGTATACATCTTTCATATCTGCTTGTGTTTATGTAATGGGTAAGCAATATATGATCTAGCAATGGGATGTTATACTCTAACTTATCTGTCTTACCTGATTTTCTAAGAATTCTAATATAACCACTTCTCCAAAGGAAGGGTGTGTTGTATTTTCTATCTTTATTACCCTGCAATATCCTGATGATTGGATTCTTCATTAGTGAAATGTGGCAGTTGTTATTCTGGTCATAAATATTATGTCAACAAAAACTTGGGGTTTTATTTCCTAAGGTCTTTACTAAACTTGCTATGTTTCCAGTTTGAAATTCAATGAGAAGTGAGTTGTAAGCTCCAAGAGAGAAAGAGTATTTACAGAAAGAGATACTTTTCATATTTCCTTCTTTATTAAAGATTAATTGCTACTTGGTTTATAAGAAATTCTGAACACACTTTTTATAGAAAATAAATGTACAAAACCAGACTCTTCAAATTTGCATGGAGATTGTAAGCCATCTCAGGCCTTCAAGGTTATTTTCAGCTGTTTTTGAGAAAGGTGGTGTTGCATGTAGCCAATTAGGAAGAAATACTGTCCAAAAATTACTAAATCTTTAATTCAGTAAGAGAATGTTAGGATGAAGTGAATGTCTAAATAATATATACCAACTGTTGAGGGACATATGCTATGTTCGTGATATCTAAGAATTCCTTTGACTCTATCTACTAGTGACTGTTCTTGCCATCTTCCACGAGCTTCAAGTTGATGTTGAACTCTACGCTCTTCTCTTCGGTGAAAGTGTCCTCAATGATGCCGTTGCCATAGTTCTGTCCTCGTGAGTGTTGATTTTGTTTTTATACTCTGAATGTTACATGCAAGGTTACTAGGTGCTGAAAGTTAGTTGTTGAATAATGTACATTATGGATATAAATATTTGGATCAATGAGTCTTTTTTCCTTGTTCTGGCAGGAACATAAAATTTTATGGCTAATTTGGAAAAAATGCACAGAAAAAAATGAAAGAAAAATTGATATATATTTCCATTGTATAAAAGTAATTCCTGGAAAGATTCCAGGACAGTTCATTCTACTGTTTTTTTTTTTTTGTTTGTTTGTTTGTGAAGCATAGTTGTTTTAATGTCTGTAATTTTATTATTTGCTTTAACATTATAACACAAATACATAGATGTAAGTTTTGAATTCAAAACTACATGAAAAGGTTTGTATAGAAATTCTGTTCTTACTCTAGTTCTTGTCTTCCTGGCTCTTTACAGCTATTTAATAAAAACTTTCTTTTATATAATAAGTATTTCTTCAAGTCTGATCACAGATATGAATACATTTTTATTTGCTTCTCATTTCTGTTTTTGTTTTAATTTTTGACAGTTTTGGAGATTGAACCTATAGCCTTGTGCATGCTAGGCAAGTGCTCTAACACTGAGCTACATTCCCAGCCACTCAATCCTTATTTTGAAATTAGCTTACTGCACATGTAGGTAGAGTCTGGCTATATTTTCATGTCAAAACAGTTTCTTATTCTTTTCAGCTTTGCCGTATTCTCTGTGAACTGTTCTTCTTTTCTCTTGTAATCTCTTACTAATGGCTATTTGAAGAACTTTTAGTCCTTTGCTATCTCAAAAGAAGTTGCAGGCTTTAACCTAGAACTTGTTTCATTTTGCATATGCATACATATATGATAGAACAAATTCTCAGAAGTGACTGAGATTTGTGGTTGGTTTAAAGTATAAATGCATTTTCAGTTTTATTTAATATTGGCAAATTGCCAGTCAAAGGATTGTATTACTTTGTACTTCAACCACCACAAACTGAGACTGTCTCTTTTCAATAGACTGTTTGCCCAACTTTTACGTTTTTGCCAGCTTGATAACTGAGAAAATATATTGTAGCTTAATTCATGTTTCTCTTATTTACAATAATCACCTGAGAAACATTTTTATCTGAGATGTGTTAAATATACTTTTATTGAAGAAAATTGTTGAATGAGTGATGCTTTTATCTAACTATATAGAGACTGCTATTACAATGCATTTGCAGGTGGAAGAAGTTCTACACCCCCAAGAAACTTACTCTTAGCTGAGGACATATGCATGCATGTGGGCAGCTGCCTTAACCTTATGCTAGAACTTGGTATGAGCAGGAAGAAACAGCCCTTCACATTTTCTCATTACTTTAATTTCTCTCCTTAACGTCTACTTTGTTAGCTATGAAAGAGTCGTAAGTTACAGGCTTTGTTTTGCACAGCCAGACTACCACTGTTGCCTTATTGCACAGTGAGGAATTACCCTTTTGGAGATATAGCACTAATCCCTTCGATGAGGTGGATGGTGATGTTTTTAAGGTCAAATCCTTTTGGTGAATGCTCGATGTGTAAGTATCGCTTCCTTTCCTGCTGTGTCTATTGTCATAACTTATTTTATAACTAATATAAACCTAAATTAAGAAACTAACCATAAGGCCTACAACTAATAATGATGCTGATGCTAAATGTAACTTCAATGAAGATATACTATATGATGGGAGGAATAGATAGATAATGTAATTGTAATTTATGTATCTCAGAAACATAAAGGTCATTGAAACTTCTAGTATATAAATACACATGAGACACTCCCCCCAAGTCCTAATTGAATAGAGTAAGATGTAAAAGCAGTTATTTTTAACATTAATTCCTTATCCTAGACAATTATTTTACTGTTTAATCATCTAAATGATAAGCATTTCTTTCTTGTTGCTCTAATAGGTTAAGAGTCAAAAGAATATAAAAATCATTCTTCTGTTCTGGACCTATCTTAAACTATTGTTCACCATATCTTACATTTTCTGTCAATGAAATAGACCTTTCTTATCACTTTATCATATGACTAGTGTTAAGAAAAAATGAATACATCGAAGGTGCTTGAGCTTTAGAAGAAATGTGTTTAAAAGAAAAAGCTTTTCCATGGAAGTTCTCACAAAGGGCCATACTTCTGTTGCAGCCTTTTAATTGGGCTGTGTTCTAGTTCCCACCATTTGCCTGCAAATTTCATGTTTTTCTTGTTTTTAATTGCTGAGTAGTATTCCACTGTATAATGTACCACAATTTCTGCATCCATTCTTCAGTTGAGGGACAGCTAGGTTGTTTACAGATTCTGGCTGTTATAAATAATGCTGCTATGAACATGGTTGAGCGAATGTCCTTGTTGTATACTTGAGCATCTTTTGGATATATGCCTACGAGTGGTATATGCTAGATCTTCAGGTAGCATTATTCCTAATTGTCAAGAAAGCGCCAGATTGATTTCCAAAGTGGTTGTACAAGTTTATATTCCCACCAACAATGGAGGAGGGTTCCCCTTTCTCCCTTTCTTATCCCTTGAGTTTTTGATCTTAGCCATTCTGAAAGGTGTGAGGTGGAATCTCAGGGTCATTTTGATTTGCATCTCCCTGATGACTAAGGACACTGAGCATTTCCTTAAGTGTTTTTTTTTTTTTTTTTTTTTTTTTGCCATTCCATATTCTTCTCTTGAGAATTCTCTGTTTAGCTCTGTACCCCATTTTTTTAATTGGATTAACTGGTTTGTTGGTGTTTAACTTCTTTAGTTCTTTATATATTCTGGATATTAGCCCTTTGTCAGATGTAGGGTTGGTGAAGATCATTTCCCAGTCTGTAGGCTGTCGTTCTGTTCTGATGAGAGTGTCCTTTGCTTTACAGAAGTTTTTCAGTTTCATGAGGTCCCATTTATTGGTTGTTATTTATAGAGCCTGTGCTGTAGGTGTTCTGTTCAGGAAGTTGTCTCCTGTGCCAATGAAGTCAAGGCTCTTCCCAACTTTTTCATCGAAAAGATTTAGTGTGTCTGGTTTTATGTTGTGGTCTTTGATCTATTTTGACTTTACTTTTGTTCAGGGTGATAATTTTGGGTCTATTTGCATTTTTCTACATGTAGCCAACCAGTTAGACCAGCACCATTTGTTGAAGATGCTGTCTTTTTTCCATTTTTATGATTTTGACTTCTTTGTCAAAAAATAAGTTTCCATAGGTGTGTGGGTTCATTTCTGGTTCTTCGATTCAATTTCATTGATCCACCAATCTTTTTCTGCCAGTACCATGCAGTTTTTATTACTGTTGCTCTATAGTACAGCTTGTGATCTAGAATGGAGATACCTCCAGAAGATCTTTTATTGTACAGGATTTTTTTAGCTATTCTGTTTTTTGTTTGTTTGTTTGTTTTGTCTTTCCATATGAAATTGAGAATTGTTCTTTCAAGGTCTGTAAAAAATTGTGTTGGTATTTTGATGGGAATTGTATAGAATCTGTAGATTGCTTTTGGAAGGATAGTCAATTTCACTATGTTAATCCTACTGATTCATGAGCTTGGGAGATCTTTGCATCTTCTCATATCTTCTTCAATTTCTTTCTTCAGAGAGTTGAAGTTTTTTTCATACAGGTCTTTCACTTGGTTGATTAGGTTCACACCAAGGTACTTTATATTATTTGTGGCTCTTGTTAAGGGTATTATTTCCCTAATTTCCTTCTCAGGCTATTTGTCTTTTGTATACAAGAGGGATACTTTTTTTTGTTTGTTTGTTTGTTTTTGTTCTTGTTTTTTTGAGTTAATTTTGTATCCAGCCACTTTGCGGAAGGTGTTTATCAGCTGAAGGAGTTCTCTGGTAGAATTTTTGGGGTCACTCATGTATGCTATCATATCATCTGCGAATAGTGATACTTTGACTACTTCTTTTCAAATATGTGTCCTCTTGATCTCCTTTAGTTGTCTTATTGTTCTAGCTGGGACTTCAAGTACTGTGTTAAAGAGATGAGTGAGTGGGAAGCCTTGCCTTGTCCCTGATTTCAGTGGGAATGATTTAAGTTTCTCTCCATTGAGTTTGATGTTGGCTATAGGCTTGCTATATGTTGTGTTTACTATGTTTAGGTATGTGCTTTGTATCTCTGATCTCTCCTAAACTTTAAACATGAATGGGTGTTGAATTTTGTCAAATGCTTTTTTGACATCTAAGGAGATGATCATATGGTTTTTTTTTTTTCTTTCAGTTTGTTTATATGGTGGATTACATTGATGGATTTTCGTATGTTGAACCACCCCTGCATGCCTGGGATGAAGCCTACTTTGTCGTGGTGGATGATATCTTTAATGTGTTCTTGGATTCAGTTTGCAAGTATTTTATTGAGTATTTTTGCATCAATGTTCATAAGAGAGATTGGTCTGAAGTTTTCTTTCTTTGTAGAGTCTTTGTGTGGTTTAGATATCAAGGTGACTGTGGCCTCATAGAATGAGGTTGGCAATGTTCCTTCTGTTTCCATTTTGTGGAATAGTTTGAAGAGAATTGGTGTTAACTCTTCTTTGAAGGTCTGGTAGAATTCTGAGCTGAAACCATTTGGCCCTGGGCTTTTTTTGGCAGGGAAGCTTTTGATAAGCGCTTCTATTTCCTTAGGGGATACAGGACTATTTAATTTATATTTACCTGATCTTGATTCAGTTTGGGTAACATGCATGTTAGAAAAGGAGAAAATAAATACAGAAGAAGAATAAAACATATCTGTTAGGGCAGTAGATAATGGGTTGATTTTTCTCTTGAACCACAAGTTGCATTGGTATTAGGATTTTTTGAAAAGTATTTATGTAAATATTTATGCCACAAGATAGACTATTTTTTGATATGGAAAATGCCTCAAAATTTTAACTCAGAGGTCCACATTTGCCTAAAACAATGTTTTCCATGTGTTCTTCATTTTAATGATTAAAGAACATAATAATGATTAGTGTGAAACTAGAATTTAGACTAATCCAAAGAGAGCAACCTCATGAGGCAAAGTGTACATATTTTGTTTCATTAAATATTTTGTAAAAAAAAAATTATCAAAGAGGATATAGGTTGCTGTAGAAAAGCATGTTTTATTTCCTACAGAATATAGCTTAATGCTACACAGCATACTCATCTCACACTTACCATAGTATTTTTTTGTGTATGTAAACTTATTGTGCTATTAAAGGCCATTTCATGGTTTTCAAAGCAATATGTACTCTTTTAGTGTCAAAGTGACCAGGTTATTTTGAGCATTTAAACACAAAATGTATAAAAATTTTAATTCAGATTGAGTGTCAGATATTCTTAATGCTGTCACTAGAAATTGGTGTTGTGCTTTTCATAAAGTAAATACTAATTAGGAAATCATACTATGGTCCTAAATTTTTAACAGATTAACCTGGGGGATATGAAAACAACTTGTTATACATTGTATAGGTAACACCTTTTAGCCTTGAGCCAGAAAAAAAATTGTAGTAAGCTCAGGGTGAATTCATTATATTCTCTGGTATATGATTCTCTTTATTCTGTTTGACATGACTCTGTAATGTCTGTACTATTCATGAAGCTGGTACGTTAATTAACTGAGATGACAACTGATTCAGTAACAGCAAACACTATTGGCAGAGACCTCCTGGCAAGAGTGGTTTTCTTGGCCATTTCTGTTTCCTGAGAGGTGACTGTTATAAAAGAAGCTTTTTCAGACCAGGTTTGCACTTCCAGTTCAAGACAAGAGTGTCCCTTTTAATTGCCTGACTTGGCGTGGTACAGACTGACTTTTTCTTAAGTGGAGGGTGGAGGATCCAGCTCAGAATGCTCAAAGAATTCCAGAGTGTGTTTTAATTCCTCCGGAGGCTTTTGAGCCCATTCGCCTGAAGAAATCTGTTTTAGTGGGTAAATTTATGTTGGGCATTTTAAAAGTTGTAAAGACCCTCCATTTTTCCCATAAGAGGAACCAAATGCAACGGGGCTGAGAATAATCTTCTTCTTCTTCTTTTTTTTTTTTTTTTTTTTTTTTTGTAGCTCAATAGTGGCATACCAACCAGCTGGAGACAACAGCCACACCTTTGATGTCACAGCCATGTTCAAATCTATTGGAATCTTCCTTGGGATCTTCAGTGGATCTTTTGCAATGGGTGCTGCTACAGGAGTGGTGACAGCTTTAATATCCTTTTATTATATTTATTTTTTCCTATTAACCTACTGAGGTACTTTAATGAGGCATTTTTCCTAGTTCCATGACTGCAATAGTTTTTATAATTATTAATCTTTTAACTAAGAAATTGTTCTGAAAACATGAAACAAAAATCTTTTTTAATATATCACTTAATGAATTGTAATTTTTTCCATAGGCTCAGTGCCGTAAAACGTGTATATTATGCTGGCCTTGAATTTGCTCTGGAGCTGAGGCTACTTGGGAAGTTCTGATTCTCCTGTCTCTTCTAAGAGCCAGGAATATAGGGATACACCAGTATACCCAGTTTATATAGTGTTCAGGCTTAAACCTAGGGCTTTGTGCATACTAGTTCAGTGTTCCACTAACTGAGCTGTACCCTCAGCCCTCATTCCTTTTTGTTTTTAATTAATTAATTATTAGTTTATATTAATAATATATATATGTCATATGTATATATATATGTATGTATATATATGTATGTATATATATGTCATACATATATATACATATATCTGTATATATATGTATATATATGTGTATATATATATATACATATATATATGTATGACATATATATATATATATGACTTTGGTTTGTATGTATGTCTATGCACTGTGTACATGTAGGTACCTGTAGAGGCCAGAAGAGGATGCTGGATCCCTTGCTATTGGAGTTAACAGACAGTTGTTAGCCCCTAAGGGTGGGGATGCTGGGACCTGAACCCAGGTCCTCTGCAAGGTCATCCAGTGTTGTTAACCACTGAGATATCTCTCTAGTCTGTACTCCCTTTTTTGAGACTAGATTTTATTATGGCAGCCCAGGCTGTCCTCCAATTCATGATCTTCCTGCCTTAGCTTACTTAGAGATAGAATTGCTGTCATGTACCCACAATGTTGAAATGCCCTCAAACTGTCACTATAAGAGTCTGAGACATACTATCTCTTTGAGGATGAATTTAAAGTTATAGAATTGGTGTGAAGTAAATAGGCTCTCTAAAGTGTGTGTGTATTTTGTGCTGCTAATCATCTCTGTCACTCTTCTTTTCTTGTTTAATAGAACAAACAAACTGTATGGTTCCTGGGTGAGAACATGTATACATTCATCCTGTCTCTCTAAATTACAAATTTTGTTCAGCAGAGCCCTAGGCTGGGAGCCCAAAGGATCTGGGTTGTAGCCTTGATGCTGTCTTTAGGTGGCCACAAGAAATACAGGGCTAGTGATCCTTACATTCATTTGGTCGGCATTTGCTGATAGCCTACTACATGGTAGATGCTGTGTTCTGGAAGTCAAAGATGAAACAAACATGGTCCCTGCCTTGCAGACACAAATATGATAGTTGTTTTGAACTCTTCATCTCAGTGTATGAGAGTGGAAGCTTGGGAAATTTGAGTAGGACTCACAAGCCCCAAAGTTTCTAGCTGTAAGACATCTTTTAAGATTTATTTTTTTTAATTTTTATTTATGTGTATGTGTGAGTATATGACATATGTGTGCAGTTATCCACAGAAGCCAGCAGAGGATACTGAATCCCCTAGAGCTGAAATTACAGGTAGTTATAAGCCTCCCTCAAAACCCAACTGAGATCCTTTGTAATAACATCAAGTGCCCTTAACTATTGGGCCATCTCACCAGCTTCATCCAGCTGTTGATCTTTTAAGACACATTTATGTAAGACATGTGTATGGTTCTTTCTGAATCCTCTCAGTTTGCTATCTTTCAGTTTTATGCTGGAGAGACTACATTCATGGCTTTTTAATAGGTAGACTGAGGTGTATAGGGCAGTAAAAGGGTTTTGACAGGAGCCATTAAAAGCTGTATCTCTTCTCTGCCACAAGATCCTCATGGCTAGGAAGTGTGTCTTATTTATTATTTGTTATGGTGCTAGTTCATGAATTGACTGTAGATTCTAGACCTAGATTTATTACAACTTGGCACAGGCTTTCCCACTGTCACCCACATATACTTTTTCTTTTTTTTTACATTAGTATAAGGGAGTAAGTGCCTCAGTTTCTTCAT